GGTGAGATTAGAACCGCTGAACTGCAGATAACAGTCAGCTGAAGTGGCCTGCAGTACTGCACCCTAACCACTGCGCCACCTCGGCTCTATTGAATATATTTGAATATGAGTATTCATGCATTCATGTGTATGTGCATACTTAGGCAACACACACCCAAAAGTTTGCCATGGTATAAAAAGTGTGAAAGCCTAATGACGTAGCTCTGTGAGTTGGGATCCAAGTACCATTGGTGATTTGAAGATCTGTGGTTGCCTTGCCTAACATTTCTTACATTCCTTGGAAAGAAAGGTGATGTTTGCGCCCCGAATAATTTGCTGGAAAAGGGAGGGAGGGGGCCCCTTTTAGGATTGACAATAGAAATACAGGTAGTCCTCGATTTGACAACCACAATTAAGCCCAAAGTTTACGCGGCTAAGCGGAATATTTGTTAAGTGAGTTTTGTCCATTTGACGCCTTTTCTTGCCTGTGTGTTGTTAAGCGAATCGTTGCAGTTGTTCAATTGATAACGTGGTTGTTAAGCGAATCTGGCTTCCCCGTTGACTTCGCTTGCCAGAAGGTTGCAAAACAGGATCGTGTGAGTCTGAAATACTCCCAACTGTGATAAATATGTGCCAAGGGTCCAAAGTTTGATCATGTGGCCATGGGGATGCTGCAACGGTTGTTAAGTGCGAAAAACCATCCATAAGTCACGTTTTCAGTGTTGTTGTAACTTTGAACGGTCACTAAATGAACTGTTGTAAGTCAAGGGCTATCTGTAGATCATGTTTTCCCCTTTCTTTATATCCATATATTTTATTTTAGGAATTCCTCTCTTTGGGTATCTATGTTTCATCCTATGGCTGACTATCACTAAGTGTTGAATCTTATGATTTACAACGAATGTATTTTACAATGATTAGGATCACGATTTGTTGCTTGTGTGTACACTGAGAGCTTATGCACCGGAGACAAGTCCCTTTATTGTCCAATCATACTTGGCCAACAAAGAATTTTATTGACTTCTACTATTACATTTCCCCCATTATTTGTGAGAAACTCAACTGGTGTTGCAAAGTGATGGGTAAAATTGTTCTGAGTTGCCCAGAGATATTGAGAGTCAGCCGTCCTACAACTTTAATAAATTTGGGTGGCTCACACAGTCAGCCAGATGGTGAGGTAGGATTGGGCATTTTTGTCCACCTGTCAAGTCCTTCCTAAGGACCTGAAATAGGTAGGCATGATGATGTTAAAGGTGTAGTCATAGGATGTACAGGTTGTTCATAATAACAGAGTTGGAAGGGACCTTGGGGGTCTCCTAGTCCAGGGGTCAGAAAATTGCGGCTCTGGAGCCGCATGTGGCTCTTTTCATGCCTCTGCTTGTGGCTCCCTGTTGTCAGTCAGCACCACAGTTTTGAGAGGAGCTTCCGGTTTGGGGGAGGGGGGAAGCAGGGTGCGCCAAAAGGAGACTCTATGGCAAGGGGCGGGTTTTCTGGTCAGCTCCACAACTGATAGTGCTTTTGGTTAGGACAGGTAGAGGAAAAAGGACGCCGCACTAGGAGGAGACTCTATGGTGGGGGGCGGGTTTTCTGGTCAGCTCCACAACTGATAGTGCTTTTGGTTAGGACAGGTAGAGGAAAAAGGACGCCGCACTAG